TAGATAAAAGAGTGTTATTCTTATTGTTCTCCAGATGCTCATCCCTTTTGCTTCCTTCTTTTCTCGTCATTAAATCAAGCTGGCAAAATTCACATGATAAAGTGAGCCTTTGATCCTTAGAAAAGAGGAGTTTTGGAGGTTGGGATATGATGGGTGGGATGGTGGTAGATGCATAATGGTGGCAAGAAGTAAGGAATAAGGGAATAATATTGTAAGGGGAAAGGGGCTGGTAATGGAGTAGGTAAAAATGTAGGTGAATCTGAAATTAATAGTGAAAATGACTTTTCTTTGTTGTTTCTTTGCCCTTAGCAAGATTGCAGCTTCCAGATACATATACAGGCAGCTGGCTGGGCTTACTTTAACCAGTCCCACACTTGTAATTCCAAATCCATAGTTTTGGCCAAAGTAGGCAATTTCAAGTAAATTTTCTAGATTTTTTTCGCTCCATGATTCAATTAATTGCAAAACCAATAAGTAGAGAAAATTGTTATAGCAATTGGGGAGAGGTAAAATAGGGTTTGTTATAGAGAGGGAGTTGCAAGAGAATCGAAATACTATTATCTAAGTTTTTTTTTTTTTTTATGTCACTGTACTATAAAATCTACAAAATGTAAGAATTTTATTAGTGAAATAAGCTATGAAATTCAAGATGTTACCATTTGTGAATTAAGAGTTTCACTTTCCCACTGTCCTTTCATTTGGTGGTATGGCTAGCAAATTTGTTGCTCACTTTTGAGTTGTGACAAATTTTTCAGTAAATTTAGACCAATTAGTTACAAAACAATTATTTCATTCATCTATGTTTAAATTTGTTGTGCATATATTATCATCTAATATCGATGAGCCTGAGCATCTAGCCAATTGATAGTCTATCTTTGACGAACCAAACCCGAAAAAATATGTACATGAAGCTAGATAGATGGCAAATACTTTTAACTTCTCTGAATATAATTGGAAAGGGGCAAAGGTTCCTTAACTAAGAATACTATAGAGGTCGTTTGCTTGTTTGATTTTAAAAATGAGGGTTGTGGTTAAAAAAAACTAATAGTCTATCTTTGACGAACCGAACCCGAAAAAATATGTAAATGAAGCTAGATAGATGGAAAATACTTTTAACTTCTCTGAATATAATTGGAAAGGGGCTAAGGTTCCTTAACTAAGAATATTATAGAGGTAGTTTGCTTGTTTGATTTTAAAAATGAGGGTTTTGGTTCAAAAAACTTTTGGATTTATGAGGGATTTATTGCATTATAGATTTGAAGAGTCTATTGTTTGCATGATAGATTTGATGATATAATTATGATGGATTTGTTACAAATATAACTAGCTATCAATGATTTACAAATCCCGCCCCAATATGTGGGTTTTACAAGTCCTTGGGATCCACGGATTTGAATCCAAAAAAAGGAACAAATCCGTGGACCCCACGAATTTAACACCTAACAACAAACAATGAACTTGGCTAAAATTGATCATGTTTGGAATTTGAGTGCCAAATCCATGATCCAAACGTACATTTATATATCTTATAATTAGGGCTATATGAACGGACCAAATGCACTTCAAACCCTAGAAATCAATCGAAAAAGCTAGTCTATTAATCTGCGAAAGAAGCTTACAGATATCGCAATCCAGAAAGTAGTAAAATTAAGCAGCCAAGAAAAAAGATTCAAATGTGAATACTAAGAGACAACAAAGGTAAGACAGGAAGACAACTACAATTGTCTTGACCCTCTTCTTCGAGGTGGTGGGGTAAAGCAATATGCATAGAACACAACACCACAAAGGAAACCAATCAAACTCACCTTTCCATCCTAAAATTGATCCTTATTATTACAATACTACAATTCTCTTCACCCTCTAGATATGTTGACGACTGTATGGGAAAGAACCTGTTTTAATTTCCAATGGAGGATGTCGGTTTTTCAAAACTGACATTTTATATTATTTGGCTAACTGTTTGATCAGTGTTAGTCGTTTTTGGATGAGAGAAATTTAACAAAAGAGGTAAATTTGTGAACAATACAATCCTAGATGGACAGATTTTATATGCCATATATAGTAACTACCTAGATGCGGATGTTTGAGAAAAATAAAAGAGTGAGGGACAAATTAAGTATATAACTCTAAGTTTTAGTGGGTAATTTTTTGTTGGTATATTTCGGTTGAGTTAGTGATGAAAACATAAACATATTATGGTTGCTGATCAAGAAATTAATAAACTCATTAATTGGTTTCATTGTCCCAAAATGCAGAAAGTCAACGATGATGATCAGTTTGCCATTAGCCACCCAACACAAAGAAAAGAACAAAACCGACAACTGCGCGCAGTTTTCCTTTGCACATGCAGTAGTGAAATGGAATTCTGATGTGAATGTAAGTAGTTCCATTTTTCCATCTCTCCTATCGTATGAACAAAAGCTGGCGTTGTCGGGTTTGGTAGCGCCCATCCCAACTAAAGATTCTCGTGGTCCAGCGTGCAGGAATTCTCTTGGGATATATAGCACAAGAAAATGGTTCGACACAATTTAAGGAATCATATATATGTGCTTATTCCAAGGCTACATTACCTAAGATAAGAAGAATCTATATATATAGCTTGCAAATGTAACTGCAACTTGTCTAGTTTCTATCCATCCCATGCAGTTATGAGCTGTGATAGTTACAAGGGCGATTGCACCAACGTGTATGGACTACTCTTTCAGAATTTCCCAGAGTTCTCAAGTTGGCCTCGGTCATACATTAAAAGTAAGGGAGAAAAAACGTCATACGGAAAACTTTTGGGAGATTCAAACTGATCACCTCAAAGTTATCATTCCGTCGTTGATATGGTCGCTATACAAATGATACCTAAGTTTGCAATTACACTAACAAGCCCAAAATGGATCGATCACACGAAATATGTAATTTATGTGAATGAAATAGTTTAAATCCTAGCGAGTCAAACCATGTGGATATATAAGTTCAACCTTAATCAACAACATCTATTAGAGGAAGCCATTAAGAAATACATACAGTAAGCACAAATCAACAAAAAAGAGGGTTTAAAGGGGAATCCATTGCAGAAATTGAAGTTCACATACAAATTTTAGAAGGCTAGGGAAAGATAAAAAGGAAATAAAGGTGAAGATTCAAATTGCATCCATTACACAATGTGTACATATAGTCATAAACAATCTGGCTAGCTAGTGCTTGGAATCCAGAAATTACATGTTGACACTTGACAGACAAACTCCACTTTCACAAAGAACCGCCATAAATCTTCCATGAAAATTGGAATATATATGATCATATGGATAGTGATCAATAGATTTAACCCTGCTTAATGATTTGGTAGGCTTGGCATAAGAGATTGCAGAATTTGTTCTTTTACACATGTGGATTTAAGCTAGCAAATATTAGTATCGCTACTTAGCTGCATGTGCGTTGAAATTCTTTCCAACTCACCATCTACGTAAATTTGTTTCCAACAATAAATACTATGTTTCGAAGAGGGAAAATGACACCACCAGTAGAACCGAGATCGTAACTAAATCTTTAATTAAGGAAATTCAACTCACTCAACAAAAGTTTTATATTCACAATTCCCCATCTATCTTTTCACTCATGGCTCAATGAAAGACATCTTTTTAGTTTTTATCCGTATGCTATGCACTAATAGCTAATAGTCATGATTCTTAATTAGTCTCAAAACACTTATCATCTTCAAATGTACAGATGAATAAAACATATTCATAAAATTTCACGAAACCTATCAATTTTGGAAGCTCTTTTTTGCTATTATTCTTCTTTCGATACATGCCATTGAATAAGTTTTAAACCACCTGACTCCAAATACTTTGTATTGATTAAGAACGTGATGCTAATTAGTTAACACAACAAAAACATAACATAAAACAGAACTGACATCGTTTTCTGTCCTGTTAATATAATCTCCAATTATCAAGGTTGTCAACCCGCGGGTTGATCCGGACACGGTTGAGCTAGTGGGTCCAGGGTTAATGGGTCACCCATTTTAGCCCGGTTTAGCCCGGAAATATGGGAAACGTCATTATATTGTATTTATCCTGATAAATTATATCAAATCTCATCTAACATATGAGTTATAACATATAATATTACACTAAAATAACATTTCGTACTTAGATTCAACATATAGTGAAAATTCACACATACTTATATAACATTAATATTCAAATGTTCAACTTAGGATTCCAAAGATTGAGTTAGGCGAAAAGAAAAATCGGAAAATAGACGCATTTCGCAAAACAAAGAAAAAAATGACATAATTTGACCTCCAACCCGGTACCTTGTGGCGGTCGACCCGACGAGTGCGTGCGGCCTGTTTTTCTCACCGGGTTAGAGTCAAAGTGGGTCAACCCGCGGGTCGACCCGCGGGTTGACAACCTTGCCAATTATAAATAGCTAATTGGTTCTTTCCGTAATAAACTACATGAAATCAAAGAGCTTTTTGACCATCACTTTGACCGTCGTGCACGGCCAGGCGGGAGCAGGTATGGCGTTGACCATTCTCACTTAATTCCTAGCAAACTTTTCTTCTATTCCACACACAAAAAACTGTACATTTTTTTTTTGTGTCAACTAAATTTCATTCACTGCCTTTTTCCAATTAACTAGCTAGTGGTTGACATTCTTACAAGTCAACAAAAACATATATTCCCCACATCACCTAACTAACTAGCTAGTAGATAATCTCATCGATGATTAATTTGACTCTGAGAAAGGCCGGACGACATTAATTAATTTTTTCCTCTATAAGCAAATGTTAAATAATTTGGAAATATCAAATATGTCAACTATTGAAGGAAATGGATAGACACCGCCGGCCAGATTCAGCATATAAAATTTGGCCGGCGGCTTGGGCCCGCCGGTGGGTGGTTGACATGACAATATCAAGTTTCTTTGTTTTTGGTGAATTGCATATAGATCGAATAATTCCAGCAAAAACTCCATGGGACAAGATGTCAACAAAATTGAGGGACAAATTACACAATTTATTGAACACAATCAAATCAACACCGTGGAGTTCTGTCACGACCTTACTCTCGATCGTGCGGCCCTAGCTCTCAATTCCGTTAGAGCGCTAGGCAGCCTTTCTCTCAAACTCACTTGAAAGCAAAGAACAAGAACAAAGACAAAGGATTGGGAGAACTCTCTAGTGTGTATTACTCTCAAAAATGATGGAATGAGTACAAATGAGGGAGATTGCTCCTTATATAGGCCTCTCCACATACAAGGCATCAATGCCCCTCATAAAGTCCCTCTACTACATCAATACACCCCATTAAGTCCCCCCATTATGCACTCTATCAATGTCACCATTATGTGACTCATAAGTGCACTATAAAGCTCTACATTATGGTGGAGAATCCTAGGAGCATCTCTATGCTACTAGTCTTCCATACATGCCACATGTGCTGCTGCCATGTTGTCACCTTGTTGGCGCCATGTCATCTGCCACATGTGACATCCTCCCCCACTTATGCTCGCGACGCCCTCGTCGCGTCCTCTTGATGGAATGCCTCTATCAAGTCCTTGTTCTTCCAAAGCGTGAGCTCTTTCTCCCATGTTGCTTCACTCTCCGGAATGTTGCGCCACTTGACTAAGTACTCCACAAAGCTTGGATGTACGCCGCGACGAGGAATGACACGACGCGCCATGATTTCGTCGACTTCATGGTCGTGTGTCTTGGTGACGAGTGTAGGTGCGCGCTGCGGCTCCCTTCGCTGCTCGTCCTCCTTGTCTTCGTGGTAAGGTTTGAGTTGGCTCACATGAAAGACCGGATGGATCTCCAAGTGCGTCGGCAGCTCTACCTTGTATACCACATTGCCAATCCTCTTCACGATGGGGAATGGCCCTTCATAGCGGCGAAGCAGTCCCTTGTGCACGTTCTTGAGATGCTTGAAGCGATGAGGGTAGAACTTGACCATCACCATGTCTCCCTCTTCAAACTCCAAGTGCCGCCGCTTCTTGTCCGCCCATTTCTTCATCTTCCTGCTAGCGCGGGCTAAGTAAAACTTGGCCATCTCCATCTTCTCGTGCCAGCCTTTAGCGAACTTGTAGGCCGCCGGACTGTTGCCTCTATACCCCGTTGTCACCGTCGTAGGTGTCAAAGGTTGTTGCCCCGTCGCCAACTCAAATGGACTCGTGTTGGTCGACTCGCTGCGGTGTAAGTTGTAGGAAAACTGCGCCGTGTCCATCAACTTCACCCAATCTCGTTGGTTTGCACTCACGTAGTGCCGCAAGTACACTTCCAACAAGGCATTCACCCGCTCCGTCTGTCCGTCGCTTTGAGGATGAAATGCCGTCGAGAAGTTCAAGTTTGAGCCCATGATCTTGAACAACTCTCGCCAAAATCTGCCCGTGAAGCGCCCATCTCTGTCGCTCACGATGCTGCTAGGAATGCCCCAATACTTGACCACGCTCTTGAAGAATAGTCGTGCCGCATCCTCCGTCGTTAAGTCTTTTGGCCCAGGAACGAACACTCCATACTTCGAGAATCTGTCCACCACAACCATGATGCAACCGCATCCATCGACTTTGGGAAGTCCGATGATGAAGTCCATACTCACACTCTCCCATGGTCGTTGAGGCGTGGGCAAGGGCTCTAGCAATCCTGCCGGGCTTCTCTGCTCCATCTTGTCTTGTTGGCACACAAGACAAGTCTTCACATACATCTCCACGTCGTCTCTCATACGCGGCCAGAAATATGCTTCTTCGATGAGCGCTTGCGTTCTCTCGATGCCGGGATGGCCCGCCCACTTGGAATCATGGCACTCCTTCATGATCTCCTTCCTCAAGTTGGCCCATCTTGGCACGAACACCCGCTCTCCCTTGGTCATGATGAGCCCATCCTTCATCCAAAACCGCCGAGTTTTACCTTGCTTAATGTACTCCGCTACGGTTTTGGCGAAGGGGTCATGGCCAATGCCTTCAACGATCCGCTCCTTCAAAGGAAACGTGGGCTGGCTGATGCTTGCGGCTGCACTCTTGCGGCTAAGAGCATCGGCAACGGAATTCGCCTTGCTTGGATTGTACTCCATGATGAAGTCGAACTCGGCCAAAAAGTCTTGCCACCTCGCTTGCTTAGGGGTGAGCTTCTTCTGCGTCAGAAAGTAGCTCGTTGCCACGTTGTCCGTCTTCACAATGAACTTTGACCCCAACAAGTAGTGCCTCCATGTGCGCAAGTAATGCACCACGGCCGTCATCTCCTTCTCTTGAACGGTGTATCGCCTTTCCGTCTCGCTGAGCTTCCGACTCTCGAAGGCAATGGGATGCCCTTCTTGCATCAACACGCCCCCAATTGCAAAGTCGGATGCATCGGTCTGCACTTCGTAGGCCAACGTCGGGTTGGGGAGCACGAGCACGGGCTCCTTCATCACCGCTGCTTTCAAGGCCTCGAACGCTTCTTGGCACCTTTCCGACCAATCCCACGCCTTGTTCTTCTTCAAGAGATCCGTCAAGGGTGCTGCAATGTTGGAGTAGCCCTTGATAAACCTCCGATAGTAGTTGGCAAGGCCGAGGAATGACCGCAACTCTGGCACCTTCGTCGGTGGCTCCCATTCTTGGATTGCCTGCACCTTCGCTCCATCCATCTTCAACTTGCCTCCACCAATGACGTGCCCCAAGAATGGAACCTCTGTGGCGGCAAATGTGCACTTCTCCCTCTTGACGTACAATTCGTTGTCGCGAAGGACTTGGAAGACTTGGCGTAGATGCTCGGCATGCTCATCGAGTGTTTTGCTATACACGACGATGTCATCCAAGTAGACCACGACAAACCAGTCCAAGAATGGCTCAAACACTTGATTCATCAAAGTGAAAAACGTGGCTGGTGCATTGGTGAGACCGAATGGCATCACAAGAAACTCGTAAGAGCCATACCTCGTCACACAAGCCGTCTTTGGCTCGTCGCCCTCTGCTATCCGCACTTGATAGTAGCCCGAGCGAAGATCTAGCTTGGTGAACCACATTGCATCTCCAAGCTGGTCGAACAAGTCGGCAATGTTGGGAATCGGCCACTTGTTCTTCACCGTCAACTTGTTGATGGCTCTATAGTCGATGCACATCCGCAACGACCCTTCCTTCTTCTTTTGGAACAGCACCGGTGCTCCAAAAGGTGACTTCGATGGCCGCATGTAGCCTGCGTCCACCAAGTCCTTGAGCTGCCTCCGCAATTCTTCTAACTCCGGTGGCGACATGCGGTATGGTGCTCGCGAAGGGGGCTTCGCTCCTGGCTCCAACTCGATCTTGTGGTCCACCTCCCTTCTTGGTGGTAGCTTCTTGGGCAACTCCGATGGCATCACATCATCGAAATCTTCGAGGACACCTTCGATGATGGGAGTTGTGATTCCCGTTGAGCCTCCTTCTTCCTCCATCTTCAAGGATACAAGAAAGGTTGGTTCATTCTTCTTGAACCCCTTCACCACTTGCATGGCCGATAGAGCACTATGGGGACCATCTTCTCTCAAGAGATGAACCGAATGGAACTCCCCTTCTTTCTCCAAGCACATCGTGTTGGAGTTGGGCTTCAAAAGCACTCCCTCCTTGTCGAGGAAGTGGATGCCGAGGATGACTGGGTGATCGTCCATGGTGACGACGGAAAAGTCGATGAGGCCTTCCCACTCGCCAAGCTTTATTGGTACGTTGTGCGCCACTCCATGAATCGGGATGGACTCCGAATTGATCGTCTTGAGCCTCCCTTGCCCCTTCTCGTAGGCAATACCCAGCCGGTTTGCCTCCTCGACGAGAAGAAAGTTGTCCGTGGCACCGGTATCCACCAAGGCTTTTGACTCGCCTTGCATGAATTGCGCCAGAACATAGCACCTCTCCCGCTTGCTCTCCTTGACGTCGGTCTTTGCCGCGCCAAGCTTGCGGATTGAGCCAATCTTGGCCTCCGCCGCCTTGGGCCCCTCATCTTGAGCTTCCATGGCTGCTAATCTCGCCTTTCTTGGGCAATCTCGCACTCGATGTGGTCCGTCGCAAAGGAAACAAGTCATGGGTTTTGGCTCGTACTTACCCCCTTTGCTCGAACCACCTTGGTGTTGTTGAGTGCGAGAACCCTCCTTGAAAGGCTTCTGCTGTTCTCCACCCTTGTTGGGCTTCGAACTCTTCTCTTTGCCGCTGCTCTCTTGTCGTTTGTACTCGACAAAAGACTCTGCCGTGGCCATGGCAGTTGCAAGGTCTTGCACTCCTCGACGTTGCATCTCCATCTTGGCCCATGGTTGCAGCCCATCAAGAAAGCCGTGCATGGCCTCCTTGTCCGTGATGTCCTGGATCTCTAGAAGCAGCTCCGAGAATTCTTTCACGTATTCTCGAACTCCACCCCTCTGGGTGAGTCTTCTCAACTTTGAACGGGCTTCAAACTCCACGTTCTCTGGGTAGAACTGCCGCTTGATTTCTCTCTTGAAATCTTCCCACGTTACCATCACACAAGTACCTCTTTCGACGTCCGCTTCACGTCGCCTCCACCACACCATGGCAACATCAACCAAGTAAAGTGGAGCGGTACGAATCTTTACCTCATCCTCTTGGATGCCGGACGCCTTGAAGTACTGCTCAAGACTCCAAAGGAAGTTCTCTAACTCCCTCGCATTCCGTGAACCTCCGAAGCTCTTCGGTCTTGGAATATCAGCACGTGGGACGGATTGCACCGTGGCTGGTCCGCTAGCCATGGCTCTCTTCACGAGAGTGACCTCACTCTTGAGATCTGCAATCTCCTCCTGGACCAGCTCAGCCTGGACTTGCTCTTTCACAACTCCAATGGCGTTGTTTAAGGATGTGGTGATGGTGTTGTTGATGAGGGCCACAAGCTCTTCTCGTAAGCCATCATTACCAATCTCCAAGCTCGACAAACGAGCATTCATACCTTGAAAATCACTTTCGACTTGGGTGAAGTTTGCTCCCAAATCCTCGATGGCACTGATGTCTTCCGCCAACTTCACCTCCATTCTAGAGACACGCCTCTCTAGAGACGTCATAGGATCACGAGTGCTTGACTTGTCACCCTTTGGTTTGGGATTCTTCACGGTATCCCTTCCACGATGCTTCTCATCGTCGTGGACTTCTGATCCAGTCATTTTTAGTGAGGTTCTTCCTTTCCTTCTGGCTCTAGGTTCAACTTTGCTAGCACAAAGCCGAACCAGGCTCTGATACCACTTGTCACGACCTTACTCTCGATCGTGCGGCCCTAGCTCTCAATTCCGTTAGAGCGCTAGGCAGCCTTTCTCTCAAACTCACTTGAAAGCAAAGAACAAGAACAAAGACAAAGGATTGGGAGAACTCTCTAGTGTGTATTACTCTCAAAAATGATGGAATGAGTACAAATGAGGGAGATGGCTCCTTATATAGGCCTCTCCACATACAAGGCATCAATGCCCCTCATAAAGTCCCTCTACTACATCAATACACCCCATTAAGTCCCCCCATTATGCACTCTATCAATGTCACCATTATGTGACTCATAAGTGCACTATAAAGCTCTACATTATGGTGCAGAATCCTAGGAGCATCTCTATGCTACTAGTCTTCCATACATGCCACATGTGCTGCTGCCATGTTGTCACCTTGTTGGCGCCATGTCATCTGCCACATGTGACAGTTCCCTCGTGAAACACAATTATATCTATCCGACATTTCTTATTTGAAAATGTTATATTGTCAACTCGACAACAACGCAGTTATACAAAGTTGATCCCTTTAATGACTGGATTATGTTTCTAATTTCTACCATATATAACATCCCTTCGAGTCAATTTACAACCCGAATAGTACACTTGGCTAAACTTTGGGTCATTAACAAATTCGTAAGTAAAATAACTCTAATGCTTGATTAATTTGTCATTGTAGTAACCCCTAGTATTTGATGAGTAACAGTATACATTAATTCCCATACATTTGAGTTTTTATGTCCATATTCAATTTCTTTTTAGCACAATGCCGTTTCCGAAAAGGAACATTTGGACATATGCAGATATAGATTAACACTTATGAACTTAATTAAGTTAATTATTATTCCAATTATTGATGTGGAAATTACAAGGCCATTTCTGCATATTCTTTGTATGAGCTTTTCTTTGTATTGATTTGGCTCAATAAACAAAGGACAGAGAGAAGGAATAAGCGTGGAATGTAGGTTAGCTCGATTCAATCTCTAGTGATCCGGGAGAGGAATCCAAAGTAGCTGGTTTTGTCTCTTGAAAAAGTAGATTCCTGGCTGCATTATACTTGAAGGCATTTATTAATGTTAATCAGACGCTTGTCTCCTAATGATAACGATGGACCTACTACTTAATTAGTCTCTATCCACAAACCTTGCTTAATTGGTTAAACTAATTATTATTCTTTTCTTTAATCAACTGTGTAATATTTCCATCCATAAAAGCATAAGGTTGCAAATGGATTTTTGTTCAATTTCCCCTAGCCGGCCAGCCATTTGAAAATTTCGATTTAAAATCATTGGTCACTACAGCACTACTGAATTGAATAGGTGTGGCTGTCTTTTTGTTGTTGTGGTTGTTTGTGAAGTTTAAGATTTTTACCTGCTGGCTGCTGGGAGATGTTTTATATGTGGTATAAATGTGGTCATTTTCTGCATGTGGCTTACTGCTATTGATTTGATTGATTAGCTATTCAATCACGTCTATTGTCTATTGACGAAGGAAATTTCTTTATGTCAGGATATTTCTGTGCTTCCTTTTTCTATTGATGGAAGAGGGACTCTAACACTCTGTTCTTAAAGGGCAGAAAAGGGGGAAAAGGAAAGTTAACGAGGGAAAGTTGGAATTTCGACACACTTTCCCCCGTTTTCGAAATTTCGCACAGTGTCAAAAGAGAGGATTGGTCACTATTCAACTCAACCCTCCAAATTGGAGAGAAAAGGAGAGAAACCATTTTGGACACTTTTTAATTGATTCTTTATTGAGCTCTCCTCTGTCCTCTTTCCTTTTTCCTCTCTCATCTCGTCTTCTTTATCCCACCACAAGGAAGAACAACTGAACCAAGAAAGAAAGAAAAAACAGAGCACTTTTGCTTGATCTTGGCCAATCTGTCCTTCCATCGGCCAAAAAATCAATCTCCCAAATTAGATTGATGCATTGACTTTCATCTTCTTCGATCTACTTCCCGATTCTCCATCTACCCAAAACCAAGACCTCAAAACACGAACAAAAGTTCAATTAAAAACAACAAAAACACACCCAAAAAGAAAATGCATGTCACGATCTGACCTGGATTGAGACTCTTCCGATTTCTATCATGTAGGCGATGAGGACAGCGGCGAGCCTTCTCCTGTCTTCTTCTCGTCCGAAACCTCACCTAAAATCCAAAAATCCAAATCGAAATCTACAAATCAAAGATTGCTACATGCAAGCTCACTTACCTCCATAGACCAGACCGTCGTCGTCGCCGCCGGGTCTCATGGCCGGCGGTGAAAGAAGAAAGAAAAAAGAGGCAATCAGCTTTCCTCTGTTTTTCAGAAAATAGTACGTGTAGAGGAGAGGGACACACGTAGATATTGGAGAAGAGGGGAAAACTTGATTTCAGATTTCTTTTTCCTGAAGATGTTAATTGAGAAAGGAAGAATGAAGATTTTCTCTGAGAAGAGGGTGGGTTTAGATCGATTTTTTAGGGGACAAAGAATATGGGAGCATTTTGATAAGAGGTAAAAGACGAGAGAAGGGAGAGAGAGAAGAGTAGTGGGTTTGGGTTTTTATTTTCTTTCCCTAATTTCTTTTTATGGTTAAATGGTTTTGATTAATTAAAATATTAAATTAATACTTAAGTAGGATTTTTATTAATTTGGTGTTTAGTAATTTGAGTGTAACTAATTTTTAATTGATTCAAATGGGTAAATTTCAAATGATCTATCTTACCGACAGTTCAACTGAAAAAATATCCTACTGTAGTCTAAATCGATAAGTGGTTTAAATAATATAAAACAAATAAGCTTTGGTTACGATTTCGGACCAAAAATATCCTACCAAACCAGATAGATGATTTACCTCATATGTAACGTTGTTTTGCACGATACATAACACTATTGTATGAGATATAAATATTTGTTACGCTCCTCTTACAATAATATACTTATTCACAATTTATCATAATTCAACATATAATCAAATTATCTTATTATTATATAACAAATAAAATAACATACTCATCACATTTCCCAAAATACATTTTCCCTCCCACTTTTCCTCCACAAAACAACATTTTCCCTTCTTTCTAAATCTCCCCTCCCCTCCTTTTCTCTCCCTTCCAAATTTTCCTTTCCTTCCATTTTCCTCCCTTCCTTCGGAAACATAGTGTAAACAATCGTGAGCGAAGACACGTGGAAGTGAAAAACCCCTGGAATTATTGAACGTAAATCTGTGAACTCAGACTATGGTTATAGGATTCTCATTGCCCACCATGATGATGGTATCTTAATACACTATCACATCACACTTCAACAGTTCAACTGCCTTTGTTAATCTAACAATGGGTACATTTCTGGGAAAGCAGAGCTAAGGCAGCTAGATGAATAATGCAAAAGGCCCAAATTGTACAGTTCTGCCAGGGAGCAATTTGACCATAATGGGCCTGACTTTTTTTTGGTAGAAATGGGCCTCCCTTGTTAGACTTATAATCAGGAAAGGCAATTACTCCGACGATTGAAGAGATGTGGTATCGACTCGGCCCAAAAGCTACTTTGCTTTATGAACTACTCGTGAAAGGCTGAAGTAAAACTCAAGCCAGCCGGGACTGTGGATTGAGTTCGGACGAGAATCAACAGTATAATTTATAGCTGAAAAGTAAAACTGCACCCCCCATTCAAAATTTCCTGCCCATAGAGTGATTTTAGGAAGCTGATGTGGCAGAGTGTTAAGCGGGGAAAAAAAAAGTTCCCGCCTGATTTCAGAACCAAAAAACTGTCCACTACCCACCTTTTCTCCTGCCAGGCCACGTTGTCATTTAATTTGTTTTTATTTCCCAGGAAGGAAATGGTCCACTTAAGAAGCGTGCAAAAAAGCAAAACAACAAAACCCAGAAGCAAAGCTCCTTCCTTTTCCCCTTCCATCAGTTCCTTTGTTTTTTTCTACTGTTATTAAGAGAGAGAGAGAGAGAGAGAGAGAGAGAGAGAGAGAGACAGAAAGGGAATCGCAATTCCAAGCACATTACAGAGAGAGAGGGGGAAAGGTGAAAAGGAGAAGGAAGTCGATTGTGAGGTGCGAGCTCCCACCTGTGAACTACTCCGCCGCCGTGGATTTGCGCCGCCCCGGCGGCGAGGTTGTGGAAGGGAACTGGAGGGCTTCTTCGAGGAGGGCGGCGAATCAGACGGCGGATGAGGAAAATTCCGATTCCGTCCCCGATTGGGGGAAAGTGGTCTACGAGGCAATTCTGGATTGGAACACGGTGGTGGTGTTGGCGAAAGGGTTGAATCTGAAGCCACGGAGGAAAGTAGATCCGGCCGAATTCAGGTGCCATTTCTCGCTGAGCAACAATTTGACCAGAGAGGAGAGCTTCGTCTTCACCACCGAAGCCACCGCCGCGGCTCAGGAAGTGGTCCGCTGCTTGCATCCGGAAAAACAACACCGTGCTTGCCGAAGGAATCCGCGTCACCGTCAGCCACGTCGAAGACTCCGCCGCCTCCCCTGCCTCGGCCTCCCCTGCAGCTCTGCCATCGGTGGCGAAAGTGTGCAACCCGAAATCCCACGGAATGAGAGGGAAAGGGGAAGAGAAGTACGAGCCCTGCGCTTGCACGATGCTGTGGAATCAAGCGTCGGTTTTGAAGGAATGGGTGATATATGTTTATCACTCCAACGAATGAAGCCTTACAAATTTATGGGGGTTGATGCTTACCCGGGGTGAGTTAGTCGGTGCATTTATGTCCTCTCATCCCTACTGCTTTATTAGCCGTTTGTCTCACTTTTAGTCGTTCTGCTCTAGAAGGTGACCATTATATCATGTGTGATCTGATCAATTTCAATGTTTTTCATTCACGTGTTTCCTTATTACTAGCTCTATTCCCACACTTCGAAGCGATTAGTTTGAGCCTTCCAGTATATGATCCTATAAACTCATTTACAATTGAATTGTCAGTATAAGCTATTTTACTTGCATTATATAACACTTTGGAGTTTGGGACATTTTATTCTTAAAGCTTTTAGTCATTTCTGCTATATGGTTTCGATTTTTTTATTTGGTTTAGATATTTATCCAGTTCGATCTGGCTTTCAAGTTGTACGAAATTAAGTTGGCTGAATCTATCACTTAAAAAAAAAGTTTGCTGAATCTATCTATTTTAGGAGTCAAAAGTTCTATCATCTA